CCCCACGATCGGGCTCAACCCGCCTGTCCAGTCTAGCACCCTGCCCACCCATCCACCTGCAACGTTGCGCACCTGCCTGCCGGTCGCAGGCATCCCTGCGGCCTGCAAGCTATGGTACAGGGCCCTCACGGTCTACTTCACCCCTGTGACGGACTACTTTGAGGCGCGCTTTGCGACAGCCCAGGCAGCGGCCGACCTGCACGGCGCCGACAGCCCAGAGGTGGCCGCGGTGCACGCCGCGTGGGACGTGGTGGGCGTGCCCACGGCGACGGACGGGTCTGGCCCCCAGTGCGACCCAACGTATGCCACCAAACCCAGCACCTGCTCAGCGAGTCGCTGAGGGGCCCTGGTCTTTTGTGTGGTCGTGTCCCAATAAGAAACGTGGCTTGTTTTGCTCCATCAATCCCGCATTGAGCATCCCATAAAACCCCTGTCATATCTGCTTCGAATAGCGCTGCCAATGTCATATCGCGCGCTGCTGCTGCTGTTGCTGCTGCTGCTGCTGCTGCTGCTGCTGCTGCTGCTGCTGCTGCTGCTGCTGCTGCCGCCGCCGCCGCCTGCCTGTGCACGTGAGGGAAGAGCGACTGCAGCATACACCGCATCTGACACGCCGCTTGCAGCCCACGGCATGGTGCTCCTGGAAAAAGTGCAATATCCTCTGGCGGCCGGGTGAAACCGAGCGCCACCTCCTTTCATCGCATCACTCGGGGTTTCTTGGGGTCCACACTGCTCGGCACTACTGTATGTGGACAAGCGGGACTCACCTGGGCAATATGAGGATATTCTGCCTCTGAGCCACGTTGCTCTTGCCATTCAGCCGATGTACTTTGGCTGATTTGCTTTGGAAGAACCAAACCTTGCACTAACGCACGTCTGCACTGGGCATCGCTGATTGATTGTGCAACCTTTGGCAACATCAAGCCTGAGCTCTGCGATGCGCAGGCGTCCGTGGTGGCGCCGCGCAAAACGTGCTTGGTAGAGCAGGCATGGCACCTGCTCGGAGTGGCCGTAATGTGGTGATGCACGCAAGCGACGCACACCTAAACTGTGTTCGTCTGTAATTGTGTCCACAGTCACTGGTTTTTCCTTGAGGGAGCGAGGCGCGAAGTGAGGTGTGGAGCTTGCAGGTACACGAGGGGTTGGCAGCGCGTGGGCTGGGTCCCGAGACAGGGCGCATATACGTAAGCACGCATGGGACACTGCAGCCTGCCACGGACGAGCGTCGCAACTGAGGATGCCCCACCGTTTGTGGGCAGCTGGCTGCTTGTTGCCGGGCCCTGTCGGCGTCGACCCAAAGCTGGCCTTGCTAGCTGCGACGCCACGCGGACGCAGGGGCCCCAGGCGCAGCTGTGCACCGTCAGCTCAGCCAAGCTCAGCCGCAGCCTCCGCCCGCAGCCAAGAGCATTGCAGTCACTGCAATGTGTATCCCTTGCAACAGCCCCGCTGCTGCGTGCTCGGTGCGGTGTTTGGACGGCGGTAGCAATCTTGCAGCCACAGAAGCCGCCCCTCGCGCCGCTCCGAAGCAACGGCCCCACTTCAAACCAGTTTTTTCGGGGACGGATGGTGTCTTGCAAAGGGCTTGTTACAAAAGCAGTAGGTGACCTCGAATGAGTAAGCTGCACGCTCAATACCTATCTGCTGTCATCCAGGGTCAAAGGAAAGGCACTGCATATATGCACCCGCTGCGACAACAAACAATAAGAAATAGGCTCCATTCGCCACCATTGAAAATATCATAGGCGCGACTCCTCCTACTGTACGCTCAAAACATACGCACCCACCCGGCTTGCAGCAACACGCCATGCGCGGGGGCGGGCAGAGGCACGTGCACACGTGTGTGGAAGCCCCCACATGCTTGGGCCGCGCCGATGATGCACGCACGACTGACTGTTTCAGCCCGGCACGCTGTCTCCGTCCAAAGAGGCGATCGGTATTCCAAAGCAAGTCATGAGCATAAGCAGCGGTGAGCGGCAGGTCCGTGCGGGTGTCCGCAGCAAGGGAAGGACGGAGGCGCCGCGTCGCTGGCGCGGGCTGCGGCGGGACGCGGTTCTGCGTTCCACGCGCGTCGCTCAGTGGGATGCACGAATCAACCATATAATCCGTGACCTCTGCGGTCCTGACGCCAGTGTGTCAGTAGGAAGCAGCCGCTGCCGCGAGGAAAGGGGAGTCAACCGTTGGGCAGCCAAAAGCGCATGTAGGCACACTTGCGGCCGCGCGCGTATACACCACCTTGCAGGCGCGGCCAAAAGAGCGCACGACCCCCTGCTAAGCAAAGGCTGGGTGCGAGAAGACACAGGGATGTGCAGCCGCCGCAGCCGAGACGGAGATCACCGCGCTTCGTCGCCGTTGCCGTCGCCGCCGGCGCCTGCCCCGCCGCCGCCGCGACTGGCCGGCTCTAGCTGCCCTGGGCCCTCGCCTGTGCCCCGTACAGCGGTGGCGTTGCCGCCGGCGCTCGAGCTGAGGCTCCTGCGCCCCTTGCCGCCACCCGACAGCATCCTGAGCATGCCGCCCAGCGCCTGCCGCGGCCCGCCCTCGCCGCCGTCGAGGCTGCGGCTGCGGCTGAGGTCGCGGCGCAGCTCCTGCTGCTGAAGCTCCCGTGGCGACGCGCGAGGCGCACGCGCGCTCGTGCCGCCGCTGCTGCCGGACGCCGCGGATGGCGGCCGCTCGTCAGCGCACACCACTTGCTGCTGCTGCTGCTGCTGCTGCTGCTGCTGCTGCACGCCTTGCGGCGGCGCCATAAGCAGCAGCTGTGGCTGCTGCTGCTGCTGCTGCTGCTGCTGCGCCGTCCCCGCCGACTCCTGCAGCAGCAGCGCGTGCATTTCTTCCTTCATGATCACCATCGTGCGCCACACCTCCCCCAGCTGCTGCCGCACCGCGCCGCCGCCGTCCGCCTGCCGCTGCAGCGCGTCCGCGCGGCGGCGCTCGGCGGCGGCGGCGTCGCGCGACTCGCGCAGCTGCTGCTGCGCAAGCGCCAGCTCGGTTGCGGCCTGGTTCACGGGGGCCAAGAGCAGTGGGGGGCGTCGGGCGGAGGGCGCGCACGCATGGAGACCGCTCAAGATTGCGGCGACGGGGTCGGGCCTCCAGGTGTCCGACCCGTTGGCGCGGGGCAGGCATCTGGGCCGCGCGGGCGCCTTTGAGCCACCCACATTCCGCCAACCTGGTAACCCCATTGTCGGCCATGCCTGCCCTCCCCCCCGCTCCTGCCCGCGCCCCGCCCGGCCCCGCCCGGCCCCACGCCCGATCGCAGTGGGCCGCCAGGCGCGCATTGCACCCCAGGCGCCCCCCTCAAAACCGCCACACCCGAGTCTACGACGCGGCGG